GGAAACAACAATGCCTCTGTTTCAGAAATCAAAATGTAGAATTGTAGATACATGCTGGGTGCTGGGAGGCTGCTCTGGCATTTGTGAGTGGAGAAGAGTTGTGAAAAGAGCAGGCTGCTGTCCTAGTCCATCACCTAGACTGAGAATTTGACCAGCTGTAACAGTTCATAAACGTGACCTAGGAAACAAATGTCATCATGCAGTTGTAGATCAAATGTTTCCCTCAAATAATCTTTGGTCTCTCAGTACGTGTTTAGCTGTTACAAAGACATGGGAAGGAATAATATTTAAATGTTTGAAATGTAGGACACTACAAAGAAACAAGAAGGAAGCACTGTTAAGTTCTCAGTTCTCTTATACTACAGCTTTTTGGCATAATAATCTGCATGTAATCGTAGTGTTATTTTAATCACATATAGCTTTGCCGGAGTCCCAAGGATGTTGTTAACTTTCTCCTTTGGGGGAGCCTTCTATAATACAGACTCTTGTAGAGACTGATTCATTGTGTGTCATCTTATATTCATAAACAGTCTAACAAAAGGCCTTCATGGTACAGTATTACACAGTCACATAGTATTTACTGAGCTGTGCTTATGTTCAGAGATATAACAGATCCTTTATTATTAAAACTAAAAATTAGTTGAAAGTCTGAATAGTTGATTTGTAGACGTCTTGTCTAATTTACCTAGCCTGAAAACGTGGCTCCTGGAGAATATTAGAAGACACTGTCTATCTGGCAGCTTGCTCTGTCACTGGGACACGTGTTCACGGTTACTGCCTTGCAGGGGCAAAGACTATGGCTTTCAGCTTTAGACAGTAATGTGCATCTTGGTATCAGTAGATTAAAATATAGTATATAATGTCACACACCTCTCTGTATAGTTTTTACAGGTATAAAGCCAGAGTATTTCCAATCAATTTTAGAACTTTTCTTCCTCAGCTTTGAATCTTTTTCCTCCTGAATTGTAATTGCGTATCTTAGCTTGGCAGAATATTTTTTAAAAATGAGCAAAACAGCAAGCTTATGGATGAAGGCAGCCTTGCACTAATAGAGAAATGTCTGCATTTAATACAAGATGTACAAAGCTTGAGCTGGTAAAAATGTTGTTTGTAGCATCTTTCTCTTGGAGATCTAATTCAGATCCTGACGTACATGAGTGGAATGTAGAAAAACTGTGGAGGTAGGGACACAGAAAGCGTACAAAGGACAACAAGGAGGAAGGAGGATGGGAAAGCAAAGTGGCGCAACAGTGCTGCTATCAGAAAGGAAAATGAAACTGAAGAGGCAGGAAAAAGGGGAAAAGAATTGGTAAAATAAAGGTATACACACAACCATGGTTATAAGCAGTATTTCTTTAGTTCCATTATGTTTATTCAACAGCAAAGAGAAGGGAAGGAGTCAGATTCTTGCGGTTTTGTAGAAGGGAAAATTATGATTGCCCAGGGATTTCATCACATATAAGGCCTATTTTTGTTCTTTTGTGTTTTTAATACACGTAGTAGTCTCACCTCATCCTCCAAAGGAAAATTTCCACAGAAACTTACTCTGGTATGTAGGATTCTGTATGTAAATTTTTACGTGATAATGAATGAAGCAATCCCAGGGCCATGTTTTTTCTTCAATTTTTGTGAAGCATACTGTGATCCATTTTGCCTGTTGTGATGGTTTTCCTCATATCTGAAATCAATTACTTGCTGTACAAGTAGGATGTTTGAATTATAATGCTTTCAAGGAATCTCTGTAGCCTGATTAATTTTGCTGCTCCTGACTCAGTGTACCAGATAAATGTTAGCTGTTTAAAAAGGTATACAGTTGTATACAAATGCTTGAATCACGTGTTACATGCTTAGTTGCCTGATGCTATAACTTACCCTTTGATCCCATCAAGGGATCCATCTTGTTTTAACAAGAGGAACACAATTTAAGTGTTAATGCTTTTCATGTTTGTGTTAACAAAGGTACTTCTGAATGAGTTCATCCATAATGAGATGTATAATCAGTTTTGTTTAGTAGCAAACTAAAAAGAGGTATGGGATGATTGCCAGAGTTATTCTAATTGAGTGACGCATCTTTTCCTCTTCATGAACACATTTAACTGCACTGGGAGTTGTGCATGTGCCTTGAGAAGAGAATATGCCGCCTGCTGAGAAAGACTTTGTTTTTACTCAGTTGCTCAACCTAGAGAAAACTGTTTGCAGGAATGAACTGGAAGTAAGTTCTTCATTGATGGTAGAGATAGTTGAAATATTTCTTTCGAACTATTTTTCATTTATTCACCAGAACTACATTTCTGCGTAGTTTATTAATTACTTGTGAAGTAGTTCAAACATATTCTGATTTTTGTTATTCATGTCAATCAATATCAATTAATAGATTTTAAAGATATATCTGCTATAGCTTTCCTTAGTGGTCTGTCTTACTGAACACCTCGGTTACATGGGCTTGTTTCTTTTACCCAGTGAGATTGGAGTGCAGAGCTAAGAAACCATAATGAAAGCTGAAGAAGGATAAATTGCCTGAAATCTGAAAGGCATTGTTTGCCTCAGAGAGAAGAACACTTGAAGAGAGAAATAGAGTAGGCACCTGAGAGGGCCTATATTAACACTTCTGGAGGAAGAATGTGCAGACGTTCATAGCGCAGTTTGACAATTTTGTGGAAATGGAAAAATTTATTACGCTGGAGTCGCTTTTTCAAGTTTTGGCAATTTCTTACTATCCTTGGTTTTGGTGCTTCAAGAAGGGAACTGCAGTATACTTGCTGTAAAAATCTGTAAACGTTTTCCTGGCATTTGTTAGTGAATTTGCCTTGTCCATGCCCACCTATGATTTGTGTTCATTTTTACCTACCTTTTACTGTCAGAAATGTTGGAAGCATAAGAACACCACATTAGCAACAATTTAGTCATTTAAATTCTGGAAGCGCTGGAGTTAGTGTGATTGTAGCATGTTAGCATGACCCCAGCTCACTTGAGTCTTACCAGTTCATGTGTCGTTAGCAGTAAAGATGTAGCAACATGAGTTTCAGCATAAGTTGAGGAAGCGCAGCTGGGACATTTATGAGAGTCTTTGCTGGTGTTTATAGCAATTAGCTCAGGTATACCTGTATGCGTTGCAACTACATCTATTAGAAGCGCAGAACTTATGTGAATTTGCATGTGCGCATTTTCAGATGGAAGACCTTGTGCGCTCATCCAACAGAGGAGAAACACAAGAGCATCAAACCAACCACAATTAAACAATACCTTTTAGTTTCAAATATTTTGAGTCAATCTGAAGTGTGTTAAGTATAATCAGTTTGTTGACTTTTCTAGTACACTGTGGATGTACTGCAACCAATAAAAAAGCTAAAATTTATTATTCATCGTGAATTTATTCATTCAGCTGCATCTTCTAAGATCCCTTGCTGTAATCAGCCACAGAATCTCCTGAACAGAGATTCTGACTGTTTTGTGATGTGGTAATTTTATTATAGAGAATACGGACTGTAACTCACAATTTGAACTGAGTCTTCAGAATTAAAAGGCTAGGTTGAGTTTTTTTTTTTTTTTTTTAAGTTTTCCTGCAGCCATCTTAATAGCTAGGGAAAAATCTATTCAAGGAGGTAATCGAAAATCTTGAGGGAGCACTATTGCTGTAGGCTATTGATCTTTGCCATTAAAAAGCGCCAGGAAAGTAAAAGTGTGGAAGAGTGCAGAATAGAGACCATAATGGAACATTTGTAATCTAAGCAGTAGAACTGAGACTGTTGCATTTCTTTCTTATGTTTTGACTTTGGGGAGAGAAGGTGGGTTTTAATGGAAATGGCATGCTCCAAGGGAGTTTTTCCAAGATACTTAGTCCAAGCAAGAATTGCTCTGGGAGTAAATGTGGCCCTAACTATAAATAAAGTTCCCACTAGATATAAAATGCAGATTGCTTTTAGGACAGGTTATAGGAAAAGAGAAACAAACTTACCGACATCATTTTGCACAGGTGAATTGTATCAGAAATTGAAATAATTCACATAACCAAAGATAACTATTCTTAAAATGCACCTACAAAACCTATATTAAAACATCGTTAACAATATGACAGAATATTAAATAATATACCTGCATTTCTGAGACCCAGGAGATGTCACGAGAAATGGGAGTAGTTGGAAAGTGAACAGCCAGTCATGCTGTGCAGTACTGTGACCTGTTAAAACTACAAATAGGTTATGTCTTGCCTTGATTGTGTATTCCCTTATTTCTGCATTACCAACCACTGAATTTATTGTTAATATAGCAAAACCATGGGGATTCTGGAAACCTTTCCATTCTTGCACAAAATATAAAAATCTGTTCTCCTCCAAAAATGCTATAAAAATGTTATGTAAAAAAGCAATTTTCTAATATAAGTAGAAAACTTAACTTACACTTGATTTTATCATATTAAAGTTTGTATTGCATCACATAAAGAAATAACATAGTATTTATCAGTACATATAGAAGGAGAATGTCATCTATTCTGAAATTTTGTTCAATGTGGAGAAAATTTATGTCATAGGTTTCTTTAGCTTCACTAGAATATATTCTCCCAGTTTATTGTTGTCGTATCAACAAGCAGAACAGCCTAGGCTGATAGATTGTATAATGCGCTCTAAATTTAAGATCTGCCTTTGAGCTCAGCTAGAGATGATGGAGCTGTGCTATTTACACTGTCAGAGGAGTCAACTCTGCATACCAGGATTATGTATGTAGTGTGGAAAAAAAGAAGCATCCTTCTTCAAATCCAAGAAAACGTTTAATATACTAGTAACTTTTTAATCCTAGAAGGAAGCTGATCTATTAAATATGGAGTACACAACAGCTAACTGTGAATTGTAGCATTATATAGAGAACTTCTACTCACATCGTAGATTGCCAGAGCAAAGTTTATAAAAACAACAATCCATGCATTATAAATTCTGAATCTGCTTTGCAGAAGGTTATGCTCTTGCTTTGATAATTTTTCCCTGTACTTTTGCTCTTTTTCCTAGAAGTCTGTCTTCATGCTGCAGCCCAGGACAAAAAGGTGGGATGCTACATAGAAATGCCTTTCGGAGGACTCCTCCTTTACCACGCGGTAGGTTCAATGGAATTACAGGACCAGCTTATCAACAGCTAGAAGAGTCAAGGATCACAGACCAGGACACAGTACCTTGTCAACGGTAAGTAGGAAAATAACCAAAGTGAGCAAATTTGTTCGTCGCTGCAAAGTAAAAGGTTACGTTAGTTACTATGCTTTGCCATTACAGTACTTGCAACATTTTAGTGCACTGTGGATCCAGGGCTTATAGTACTGAAAGCAGAAGAATGTTTTCAGCATATTGGCTCTTTGAAGGTAATACGTTTTTATTTGGCTGGCTGCTCTTTTTAGCCTTTTTAAGTCTGTAAAAGGAGTGATCAAAACAAACTGTAAGTGATTGGCCACATGCCACTTTTTATAAATGATACTTTCTTTAGCAATGCCGTGATCTGCAGTTCTTGTGACTTCTGCATAGCATTGTTTCTTCCCTCAGCATTGTTAATGAAAATAATTCGGAAGATCAAAGTTATGTTTCTAAAATAAGCCTATGTAGATTCTCTGGTGTGTTTGCCGTAGACTGAAGACAGACCATTTCACTCAGTTTGTCTTTGAAAGCGCACAAAGAATCAGATATTTTTCCTTTTTAATTCAGCTTAGTAGAATATTGGAAGTAAGTTCCAGCTAAACATAAGGACTGAATTTCATTGTTTCTGAGCACCTACAGTTATCGTGGAAGTCCTTTGCAATTGCTGAGCTATTTTACTTAATATTTACATATCCCCATAGATTTCCAAAGACTTTCCAGAATCTGTACCAACATATTCTGTGTAAAACTAGAAGTAGCTGGATGGAATACAGTAACACAGGTTTCATTTAAACATGTGCAAGTCACAGTTAAGTGCAGTGAAGTAAATGGAATTATACTGTGGGAAGACAGCTGTACCTTAAAGAGCGATTGGAATTGGCTTTATGAAGCTTTAGGAAGTGTAGGATTGAGGTCACCTGTGTGTGTAATTTTTTTTAGGGAAGAAAGGAGCCATTATCACTATACACTCAGCCACAAGTGTTGACTGAGAAAAAGTGTCTTTGCATAGATGTGTCTTTGCGCACACACGCACACACGCACACCCCACCCCCAGTGAGTTGACTCACTGGATCTTGCACAACTGAATCTGCCAAACAAAGTTGGCCACACTAATCAAAAAGGGCAGTTCAAGGGTAGTGTTTACTTGAGAAGGGCGAAAGCAAAGTAGCAAATGGTTTGGGTTTCTGGTGACTTTTTTTAAAAAGTTGTATGTTCCATACTTCTTTCCTGGCTACTATTTGTTTCTTTGCAGGAGAAACCTGTTCATTACTTCTTTCAGTAAATATTTTGCTTTTTGTTTGTATGATAATGTAGGTATAATTCCTTAAGAAAATTGTGAATCAGAATGCAAACCTTACTGTAACGAGCAGGCTAACCCAGTTTCCCTTGTTAAGCGTCAGTCTTGTGAAGCAGGCTTTTCGAGAATGCTGTAGCCTCCTCCTAGGTCTTGAGAAGTGGGAGAGAAACTACAGCAAAGCTGTGGTCTGGGCAGTTGTATTTATTCTTCTCTAGGAAATAATTTTTTGGTATTTCACATACATCTTGTATTGACTTCTATTATAAATTTGCACTTCTGCAAAATGTTGAACTTTTGACCACAGTGGGAACCCTTCTGGCCTCAATCCACTAAAGCACTTTATTTGTATTTTGTGTGTTTTGCTGTCTCTGCAGACTCTCACAATAGGATCTTTTTTCAGAAATAGTTCTTAGACTGCATCAAAAGGTACTGTTGTGACAGGAAATTACAGCAGTATGTATATATCACAAATATGACGTCAAATTCTTAAAGTAGTACCCATAAAAAGAAATTCACAGAATGTCAGTGTTAGGCATGAAAATAAAAGCAATTATTTCATCTTGTTGTATTATGATGTTTCACTGATGATGGATTTTATGAAAATGAAGTCTTTAAAGGATGTAACAACACTTTTTGCAAGTTATTTTGTGTTGCAACAATGAGGTAATCTGTTTGACCAAAAAACATGTATGTATCTTATTTCTGGACAAAAATATAAATAATTATTTAATTTTACTTAATGTGGAACTCTATACTTAGGAAGAGGTTTTCCCCAAATCTGTCTTTTACTATCTAAATACGTGCCAGAGTTTCACAGTGTTGTTATCCTCACTAGATTTCCAGTCCAACTGAAAAGTTCCCTTATCTCCTGCAGAATTTACAGTCCTTTCTTTCCCTTTTCTTCTCCATCTTTCCCAGATAGGGATGCACAAATCTAAGTGGTTTATGTCCTTAATTCCTTCAACCTGTTAAAGTGTCTTCATCAGCAGCTCTGTCTGAAGTTGAGTCAGATTTTGTATGTTTATATTTAACCAAAAAGAGGCTAGTTTACCTTTCTAGTTACTAAAAATGACATTCCATCTTCCCATCCCATCTGGAGATGAAAGCTTTTGCTGCTTTCAAGAAATACCAAGGCTCACATGTGCAGCAGGATCTGATATTTGCAAGTTGAGTCAAATACAATTAATATCAGTTGATTAATCAGTGCACTACTCAAAAGTAGGAGAACAGCCTCCTTAAAGAAAACAAACCATCTCCATGCCACTCACATACACAGAGTCTGATTAGAGTCTCTGAGGGTGTCAAGAGTTTACATTCAGTTAAGCGGACAGTGTTTTGATTGTGTGTTTTCAACAGCTGTTTGCATTACATGATATTAACTGTTAGTGTGAATGTGTATATATACAGATATAAATGTATTTATGTATATAAGACCTGTGTCATATGCACTAGTAGAAAACGGTGTGTGTGTATATTGGTATATGTGCTTATAACACTGAACTAAAGCCTATTAATGCCGGTGGAATGACTCCCATTCATCTCAACAGACTTTGCAGTCAGGCTGCACACTGAACACCTATAGCAGTAGGGTTCACTGCAAAGCTATTTGTACCATGCTAAATACAACCCAGTTTGTATTTTACGTTCCACTTACTTCCGTCTGTCTCTCTTTAATACCCGTTTTAGGAAGGCAGTATAATTAGTATTCTTTGTTCAGTTTCATTCTTTATTTTAGAATGCTGAACACTGTATGGATGAAGCAGGTAATTGCTACCGCATATTTATAAATAAGCGCTTGAGTTTCTTTTGGGCTTGGTTTTAGGAAAAGGGTGGAGAGAGAACTGCACTTTGAAACACATGCACATGACTGAATTTATTCAGACAGAAAGCAGCTTTTCAGATGGAAAATACATAGATATCCTTCAAGAAAAAATATAGCTCTGGGAACGTTAGTTTAATTATAGGAGAAGGTAATCTTGACTCTGGACTTGCAGGTCTAAGCCTGTTTCTAATGAAAATAGAAACAGTCTACTGTCACAAGTAGAAGCATGGATCAGTTTGTAATTAACCAAAAGCTGGGTCACACATGGTAGATGTAACATCCCTACTTGTTTAATACATTGTCTCTTAAACACAGTGTGTTTTTTCCCAACCTCGGTCCTTCTTTGAAAGGTCTGTGAGCACAGGGCAGAACCATGCAGTTCTGGCATAAAATTGGTGTGTCTGTCTGAACTTTGAAATAATTTATGGAAATGTGCCAAACTTTGTGTTACATGTTATTGTTGCTGCCAATTAGTTTTCAAATTACCAAAACTAACTGAATCCCTGTTACAGAATTGGTAAAAGTTACTTTCTCACCAAGCATGTTTAGACAATTCAATCTTTTCTTGGTTTCGCTTGCATGTCATCCATATAATACATCCATGGCATGTGAAATTCATTAAAATTCACCCTCTTATTTTTTCAGGGTACAGCTCAGAAAATATATTTAAGGCCTGAATTATCAAAAAATGGAGTAATGCATTTGATGAGATCCCTCCAACCATAGTTGTTTGAACAATTATGTGATGAGCAAATGCAAAGGAAGCAAGATTGGGCACAGACCGGAAGGATCTCCACTGCTCTGTTTTCATTTATTTTTTAAATTGTCCTTCTGGTGGAATAGTTTCCCTGATCAGTATTTCATACCAGTCCTTCAAAAACTGATCTGAAAAGGCCTGCTATAAATGGGCTACAAGGGTGTCTAAGCATAAGTGTAAGCGTATCTGCAGCTGTATAACATGTACAAGAAGTTCCATCACGTATCCTAAAAAGGCGCTTGCTTTATTATTCCTCTGAGTTCCACTTCCCAAAGCAGCATCTTTTTCCCTCAGATAGCAGGTAAGTTTGCAATGCCTCCTCCATATCTCAGAGCTCCTCGCTGTGCTTTATGATCTTTTGTGGATGCCAATGGAGCGTGAGTATGGAGGCTACACAGAACTGTGTGTGAACATGTGCACGGGTTATGCGTTGAGCAGTTGTACAAACACAGCGCCGCCACAGACAAGTTAATTAGTCAGTAGGACGCTACTGAAAATATACCTAAAGACATCTCCTCCTCTCTTGCCTGCCTGTCGTGTCAGCTCACCAGGAGGATGGGGCCAAAGGAGGCCTTGCTGCTTGATCAATACTGCCCTCTAATATTGGTCTGCAACTGTTTTATGCACTTCACTTTTCTTTCCACTAGTTCTCTTTCTGCTAATGCCAAAAGAAGTAAGGCATGTAAAAATACAAGTATATCCCTAATAAAGTCTAGTAGGTTTAAGTACCTTGCAGAAAAAATAAGCTTAAAATCAGAACTCAGACACCTATTTCTGTACTAGCTCTATCTAGATGTTGCTTTCCCTGACTGTGAGTAAAGCATGTGAGACTTCACTATTGCCTTGCTTTGTTAAATAAGTGATGTGATCACAAAGCTAATGAGAAATTAAATATGTTCCAGTATTGAGATGATGTCTATATTCCTTGGTAATCACAACTAGTGCTAACTGTTAGAGCACCAGATTTCTAGTAATACTTCTTCTCAAATGGGAAAGCTGTTTTTTTGTCGCTAAGTTTCCTTTATTATCTACTTAGTATACTATGTTTTTTTTAAATATTTCCTGTGAGTGAAAACATTTCTTCATAAGAATAATGAATTTGGCTTTGAAACCAAATGGAAATATTGATGAAATTTCACAAAAGCGGCCTCATAGTAAATAAAATCTGACTAGGATATGTGTTAGTGGAGGAGAAAGGATTTTCCTTGAAACACAGGAGAATAGTATCAGCAAAACACAGACATTTTCCAGAGCCCAATGTATTAACTGTATCTCCAGACGAGATCTAAAAAACCGTATCAGGCCAACATTAGGCGTATAGGTGACTGAAAAAATGGCATGATTTTTAGAGGTACAACGCCCTCAGAAGCTCTACTCGTTTGGAAGGGAGTACAGTCTTTTCCATGTAAATAAAGACTATGCAACCATATTTTGTTTGAAGTTCATTTTTCTGCACCTTTTAAAGTGTTTTCCTAATTAGCCATTTGACACTAAGAGTTCTGCTAGTAAAGAAAACTTCAGTCCAATTCCACAGTTAGGAAAGCAGGATTGGAATTTCAAATTTAACTTGAAGAAATTAGTCATTATAAATTAGTTGCAGAGAGCATAACTCTCAAAAGCTTTTAAAAAGGAATTGTCATTATTCTCATATACTGGTGGGGAAAATGAGATAGAAAAGCAGTGGTTTGCCATAGGCAGATCTGGGAATAAATACAGGTCTCCAGAGTCCAGGGTTTTCCCCAGGGCCACACCATTACTAAGTGCTCCTAGTGTGAGAAAAAGAATGACAAGTATCTTTTCAGCAAGCCTGCTGAATCTCATACAGCATTCCTACTGCTGGTTGCATCTGACTGCTTGATATACAAAACTTTTTTTACTGTTCTTTTCAGGTATTCATCCAGTGGTTTGAAAACTCCTCAGAATACTTCAATAAATATGCAACTGCCTTCAAGAGAGACAACCCCTTATTTTAATAACGTGGATCAGAAGGACTTGGTTGGATATTCATCTTCAAGGGCCAGCTCAGTTCCTATCATCCCGTCTGTGGGCTTGGATGAAGCCTGCATGCAAATGCAAAATGTTCCTGAAGTAACAGGCATCAAATGGTGCAAAAACTCCTATTCAGCTGAACTTGTCAATGTGAGTTCCCCAGTCAGTAATTGTGTTATAGCAGAACAACATGAAGTGAAAATATTGCTAGAAACTGTCCAGGAGCAGATTCGAATTCTGACTGATGCAAGGAGGTCGGAGGACTACGAACTGGCAAGCCTAGAACCAGAGAACAGTGCAAGTGAAAACACAGCATTTCTGCCCATGAGCCCCGTGGCCAAATCGGAACGAGAGGCACAATTTGTCTTAAAAAGTGATACACAAAGAGACTCAGTATTGACCAAGTGACTTTGTGTGGGGGTTGTGGGAAGGGAAATAAGAGATCGGTACATTTGATGCTTTGCTAAACAGGAAAGGAGGAAATTAAATACAAATTATTTATATGCATTAATTTAAGAGCATCTACTTAGAAGAAACCAAATAGTCAATCGCCCTCATATCATAGTGTTTTTTAACAAAATATTTTTTTAAGGGAAAGAAAAGTTCCAGGAGGGATGAAGCTTACATCGAGTGCTTTCTAGGCAGGGTTTTACATACAGTTTCAGTTACAGAGCATTTTAAAACTGTCCTGTTTGGCTGTTATGAAGGCTTAGGCTATGCATATTTTTTTCAATAAAGGCCAAGATCATTCTTAGATTCATGAGTGGTTTCAGGGTAGTGCTGCAGTCAGCTGCTGACCAGGGACTCGTACCCTGGTTAGCCAGGCCCTTCACACGAGCCTGGGACGCTGTTCTCCTCTTCTCTTGGCTCCAGGTTCATAGCATGAACGCAGACCCACAAAGACCAACTCCTTGCCCAACTTCTGTGGTTTGGCACCAGCTGTGGAATGACAATAAATCCCTAACTGAGCCAGATGCTTAACTGTCTCCCTTACTTTAATATGCGAGTAAGCCCAAGAAAGTCAATGGAAACTTGTAGGAGCTTTGGGTTGGGGAATTGTCCTGTGGGATTGGGGCCTGCTGCGAGGCAGGGGTCAGGAGATGGGATCAATGGAGAGAGAGGAGGAACGGGAGAAACTGGAAGTGCAGAAGCATGTATCATGGCAGGTTTGGTTTTGTTTGTTTTTAACAGTGGGAATGTAAACTCCATTGTTCATTACAAAACCCTCAACCCGTTTCTGAATTGTTATACTTTGAAGGCATTTGTAAGCTCCGAGGAGCACTTCTGAGTGTGTGTGTATTTTTTTTAACTCATTTTTTATTATAGGTTGTTCAGAAATGAGTCAGGGAGATCCAATATGATCAAAATCCAGCAGAAATGTGTTCATGCTGCCCTAATTTGTTCCTACTTTAAGTTCTCCAGTCACTTTAATTAATGATGGCTTAGGCTTGTGAACTTTAAAGCTTCAACCCTGCAGATGGTTCAGTATGGGCAGACCCACAGACATACACATATCTGACTCTAATGGGCTATACAAGAGCAGATGGTTTCCACCAAATCAATCCCTGCAGGGGATCAAAGCCTTACAGAAGAACTGTCATTTCCTGGTTGCAGTATCCCGAGCACGTTATAAACATTTTTTTGCGTTTTCTTTCTTTTAAGTCCCTCTTCGCCCCCATACAATTGTAACATATTATGTCAATAATGCAATGAATTGGGTTCTGTGACACACACATTCCTGTTTTTATTATTATTAAAATATCTGCTTAAATTACTTGTGGGGAAAAAAGAAAATGAACTATAGTAAATAATTACCAAATAGCCTTCCCTGGTTAATGTCAGAAGAATGATTAAAGAAGAAAATTACAGTATATACAGATTGTATAAAGAATATTCCTTTGCAGCAAATTAACTCTTAAATTGATTAGATGTGCCCCAAACTTTCCAGGTCACACGTCTCAAGACTTCTCAAAATAGCACAATTGATCACACAGTGCTGTTGTATGTTGAGTCAGAATAAAGCAATATTTTAACCTCTGTCAAGTAAATTTGAAAAAGAAATGCTGAAAGTGTATGTCATTCATTTTGTCCCCAGTTAAGGCATTAAAAAAAAAAAAAAAACTATTCACAAGTCTTACTTAGCAAGTCTTATTTGGGAGGTTTTGTTCATTTTTTTTTTTTTAAACAAAGTTGATGAAATTGTCTTGTTTACAGAACTTTCTATAGCTGTAATCTTTGCTGTGTGTTTTCAATAAAAATATATTTGAGGGCAAACTGTGCTTTATGCCTTGGGATGGAGCATGCCTTGTTCTGACTCCCTTCTTCAAAGCTCTGTGCACTGGGCCTAGATTTTAAGGTGAGATCACCCTGCGGAGTGCTCCCTCATGACATTTTTCTACAATGTATTGTGGCTGGGCACAGTCCTACTGTCCATGGGCTGAGCTGAGCGTGGCTGGTGTTGACATCAAGCCCACAGCAAATAAACCCTCTGAAAAGCAAGATATATTAGGTGGAACTCAGCTTCACATCTGTGCAATTGCCTGACTTTTGTATCGGTGCTGTTTACATCCTGCCGGCTCAGGACATGAGCAAAGTGAGCTCACATCTGCCTGTGCTAAGCCTTGTGGACACACCTGTAATGCAGAGAACTGCTACTATAAAAAGCTCTGATGCTGTAATTTGTGAAGTGTGTTCACAATTAATTAATTCTTCACCATTAACTGTATTGAAAGATGGTCTCTCTGCAATAAAGTGCAGGATGCTGGCCTAAACACGTTTCACATTGAAATCTATTCAGTCCAGATGCAAGGCCCACTTGCCCCCAAATCCTACCAAACTGCAAATTCACCTTTGGAAATGTATTGGAAACACACGGCAAGATTTCTGTTGAAGAAAGAACTATACCATAAGTGATGCCTTTTATTAAGAGAATGTGTTCACTTAGCACCCTCAAAAGACCCAGAAACGGTTGAAGAGCAATGTATTTCAGAGAATGAAGTGTTTGATTGAGTCATAGGTGAAGATCTGAAACGGTGAGGAATCTTCAGTTTATGTTAGAGATGCGATCTTGTATTCAGCAAAGGATGTGTGACTGTTACATGTTAACTGTTCTATTCAGTTTTCGGCATGTTTGAATAGAGAGATGCTAATACTAACCACATGACAGACTAGTGTATTATTTGTTAAGAGTATCACTTCAGAGCCTATTGAAAATGTCATTGTTTACAGAGGAAAAGAAAAAGGGTTTAAAAAAATCAAAAATAGGTAGCCTTGATGTGATTTGTCTGTTTCTCTAGTGCAACTATTTTCACCCTGTGGAATCTTCTATTTTACATTGAATGGAACAACATTTTCTCTGAGGTCTGGCAATTCAATTATGTCGAAGGCATAAAAGATTTCATAAAGTTGTACTTTAACAGCTGAAATGGTAGGTCAGATTTTGCTTTACTTATGAACCACATGGTCCCATTGAACTCAGTGGACCAGAAGGAATGCAAGATGATGTAGAATCTAGTTCACTCTTAAAATTACATCTTTGCCTAGCTTTGAAAACAACCTATAATCCTCCTAAAAGAAACTCTGAACTCAGTAATTTACTTGTCACATAATTAAAAATTATATCTGACCTATGAAGTTTGAGTGTAGTCTGATGTGAAAATTCATGCAGTGTTACACTCAAGTAAACTGGGAGAATAGCTAATTAAATAGAATTAAACTGATGAGAAAAAGCCTGCATCTCCTCAGCATAATACTGTGCAGCAGAATTATGAAATAGACATGTTGTGTATCCTGATTTTTTTTTGGCTTCTAAATAGAATTTCTTCAAAAAATCCAAAATGCTCTTGAAGTATTGGTTAGTAGAATGATCCCAGCACTTGAAGTAGGAAATGTGGGTAAGTATGGGCATACTTAATGATATTAACCACTGAAAAACTCTTTGGTACAACCATAAGCTAAAGCTGTGAAATATTATAATTCTTGAAGAATCACATTTAGATCAATAAACACATTCACGAGGAATGTGCTCTTCAGAATGCTTTTGGTATTTAGCCACTTAGCCAAGCTCTCAGCTGACCTAGTCAATGGAGTAATGATAACTTAATAGAGGATCATGTCCCTGATCTCTTCTGCTCAATATTGCATCAGAAAGGTTAGTGGCCTATTGCATGACATAAGGATTTCGACACTGATTTATGGAACTATTTTCATTTTGTTTATGAAAAATCATACTTATGTGCGAACATCCTCACTAGAATATGGTTTAAGGTTTGTCAGGTCTATCCTCTTACAAAGGCTGAATGTTACTGACTGGGCTCTAACAGTGATGAACTTATCACAAGTTAAACCTGTGGCTAATTCTGATGTTATTCATCAAAAATCCTGTGAAGCTTCTGGTTTAAATTTTGAAGCCAATGAGTCTATGGCATGTGCTTATGATCAAACATGCACTAGATACACTCCTGAATCAAAATGTTACATCAGGTAGTTCATGTCTACTTCTAATGGAAGTAGGAAGATAATTTGGATTTCTCTTCCCAATTCATCCACAACTTCCTTCAATCTAATTTTGGGCATTGCTTGAACTTTCAGAAGATTTTATGACAATTAATAGAAAAAAGGACACTTTCAAAGAGTTCTAGCTACAGTAAATAAAATTTAAGCTTGTAGGTGCAGACCTGAAATAAAAGCTGCTTTAAAGATTGGCATATACGTGAACTGCCTTTCTGGAAAAATGCAGTTTCCCTGTAAACTGGTTTCTCACTTGGGCAGACAATGAGCTTATACAAACTGACCTTTATTCTTTTACTTTCAGTTTTATTATCTTGGCACGAATTTAAAATGTTTAATTTCAGAATACAGAAGAAAGTAACTTCAGACACTTCCTCTTTAAGCAGTTTGGAAAAAAGCAAGTGTTTAGGATATATTCTTGAGCTTGTGTGATTTTATTCTTTTATTTTCATTTCAAAACCTGACAGGTCAATGATCACATTATCTGTTGTCTGACACACAGTTTTAAAGGCTATTTCTGTTCCCTTATGTGGTCCAGATGTCCGACTCTTAGGTATCTTCAATGAGAATGAGGTTGTATCAGAATTTTAAAAAAAGAGAAGTTCATAGAATATTAAAGGTAGTTCCTTATCCTATAGTCTTGCTGAAAATATAAAATGATCCTAACTTTATATTGATGGCTACCCACATGAAAACAACTGCAATCCTCAGCTTTCAGGTTTTGGACTTGACACTCCCAAATCACCAGCTTAAACAGGATTTTTTTGTATTTTTAAATAGCAAAGTTCGTCCGAAGATGTAAATTTAGTAACAGCAGTAAACTACTACTTAATATGATGATGGTGTTCATTCTGATCACATAACAATTATTGCATCGGGCCATAGAGAAGGATAGTTTCTTGTACGAAATACAGTCACAGACTATTAGTGGAAGTGGGAAGCCATTACTGTCGCCTAGAATTGTGGAAATCCACAGCGGTGAGGAAACAATCATCCACAGCGTATGCCGCAGAGTGCAAAATTGCTTTCATCTTGAAAGTAGAAAACTATATAGCTGTATATGTATTGAAATTACCAAAAACTTGAAACCATCTGAATTTATTAATGACTAATTTAGTAATATTTAAGGGGCAGAATTTCCCAAAATCTTGATAATTCTGTTGTGAATTGGAATAAAGGTAATTATGTTTTGATTCTTTATTATTACAGCACCATTTCCAATGTCCACTATACGGACAGAATGATAACACTACACGGACAGGCTGCACTCTGATACTTATTTTCTTGAAAAGATTTAGGAGTATCCTCTTTGGTTAAGAGTCTTATATACAAGGAGTGATTTTCTAGTACCCCACACTGCTATTATTGTGAAACTTTTCTTTTTCCAGGCAAATAATAAACTAAAATTATAACAAACACAACATACACAAATTTTTTGCTGTAAGGGAACTATTGTATTTTATAGCTATAATGAATATGTTTGTATTGATGACTACAGAATGTAAATAACACATAGGACATAATGTATGTAAGTGGCATGGAAATTCTATATTTGTACTGCAGACTTCAGCAATATATTCTCTAACTCCCTCAGGAGGAGACCTACATGCAATTTATATTTCTGATTTCCTTAACACTAACTATAGTCTGTACCACATTGCAATAGTGATTGAGCATTATTAACATAGTCTTATCTTGTCCTTTTTCCTTGCTCTTGCATTGCAAGGCCCGCTTCTACGTTGACATATATCCTCTCTGATTTTATTGACGTCACTGAAGTTACAGTGGTTCAGCATCTTTATTCACGTTCAATTATACTCTACCTTCAGAATCAAGAATAAAATTTTCAGCCTAACTTTTGGGACAATGGGAATGTCCACAGAGTAAGTTTAAGGCCTAAAACCTTCAAGATTTTATACGCTTATATTTCTCTACTATAAGTAGACCTAATGGAGGAAATCTTTCAGTGGAAGGAGGATTTATGTAATCTGTGCTGTAATGTGTTTTCCTACCATTCTTTCATAACTACAGTTTTCCAGCGTTTAAAAGTTATGCAGTCAAAAGTTCTCTTCATGTTTTCCTGTCCAACATTTGAATGCTGTTAAAATTCAGAGGCTTTGATCTCCCATACATTAAATCTCATTGCTTATATGCATATTTTACAAAGTACTATCATCTGTATGACCTGAATATAAAAGTGGCCAAAGGTCAACATAAAGAAAAGCTACAGGTCAGGCATATTAAATGCTTTCATTTTTCCCAGTAAGCGAACACACTGCTGGAAATAGCGCTTGCAAAGTTACTCAACCCCGCACTGGGTAGTTTTCTGTATGTTACAGTGTATGGTGTATACATTTGTGTGAAATAGTGTCAGTATAAACATTTACCTTAAAATAATAAAATCCAGGAGGCTGCAGGGTAAAGCATTCTCTGCTAGTGCGCTGGCAAGTCAGAACTGCAGTTAGTTTGAGAGGGGGACCAATATGCCAGCCAGTTTCCAAGTCTATTGAATATTAACTCCACAATAGATTATTGTTCCCAAGACTGAGGATTTTGCTTCAGGTCTTCTGGTGTTTTCTCATAAATTAATGTATTGATCACTTACTTATATATTGTTGCCTGTGAAGGAATGAATTGTGTGGTTAACAGGGTTAGTGTTCGGTATTTGTTCTGCAGTGATTAACAATGTCAAGTGTTGCTAGTAAGACAGCCTCTGGCTCTTTCACAGTACCAAAGACCGCAATTCACCTGAAGTGTCCTGAGTTAAGGCTTCAGAAGTTGCTCTCTGCCTCCTGTTGATACTAAAATGTCTCCAAAGGTTAAAACCCCTAACATGCATTCCATAAAGTTATGTAATAAAAATAATGCCAAAGTTTATGAAACAACCCAAAAGTTATATGGCATATCTTTTTAATGTGCATCTTGCTTTGAAAGAATAATGAATGAGATCTCTCAGTTCTGTAAATATTTGGAAACTAAGAATGCAAATATGATTAATATTCAGAACAGTCCAAAATAAAATGATAGCTACGTGCTTTTTCTGAAATAAATAGTAGTACATGAAGGTTATCTAGATGCAGCAGGGAATGAAAGAATAGCCAGGCCATTTTATATTTCATATTATAATTTGAAGACCTCTCGTAATAAATTCAGGCTTGCAGCTTTCATTACTTGTCAATACACTTAAGACAATGTTTCTTTCATAATGCAAAGTTTACTCCTGTACAGAGCCAAGGTAAGTTTTGTGTACCTCAACATAAGCAGGACAGAAATGCAGTATAGGTTTCGCTTTGGTTTTCTGAATAAAGTGAAATTCACTTGCTTTAGATTATCTCTAATCTATTCCAGGAGAGAATAAATGAGTATGCCCCCAAAACAAAATGACTTTTTTCAAAAATCAACCAATTAATATCAAGATCAGAGCCAGCTGCTAAATGTGAATGTCTTAGCAATAGTTCAGATTTTTTATATTTTTGATGGGCAAACAGCAGCTTATAGAAGTATTACCACACCACCCCAGAAAGGTGCACACTGTGAAATGTTTTGAGAAGTGGGTAGAGGGCTTCTCCTCTCACAGGATATCTCACAGGTGAGGAGGAACAGTTTCGAGTTGTGCCAAGACAACATCTGAGAAACTTAACCTTAGTTTCA